ATCTATCCGTCTCATCCTCTGCTATGCCCTTTTCCTTTTGCCTTCAGTCTTTCCCAGCATCAGGGTCTTTTCTGATGAGTCCTGACTTTTCATTATGTAGCCAAAGTATTTAAGCTTCAGCTTCAGTATTTGTACTTACAATGAATAGTCAGAGTTAATTTCTTTAAGTATTGATTGATTGGTGTCCAAGGAACTCTCAAAAGTCTTCTACAGCACCACAGTTCAAAAGCTATATTACACTGGGATTATTTTTGATGGAAGGTAGTACTTAAATCATAAGGCTACATTTATTAGTATATAAGGATTATAATTCTCTGATTATTTTTAAATAATCCCTTTACTTTTTCTGATAACAATCTGGAATCAGCACTTTCAGAGGGTATATCCAAGTTGATGAGATTACAGTTCCACTAAAAGGTCTTAAGTATCAATTCTGCTGCTGCCTGAGAACTAGATTTCCCAAACGACAGAATAGTGGAGTGGATAGGGCATAGGACTAGAGGCAGGAGACCCAGGAGCTAGCCTTGGCATTAGTAATACAAACTGAACATTGAGCAAATGATCTTCTCTCTCTGAACCTTTTTCTCTCTCTTTATACACAAGGGAGTTTGAGCTGGGTGATTCTACAATGTCCCTTCCTGCTCTAAAGTTCTATGATTCTCATCAAGTTGAAAAGAAGCATGACATATGGCCAAACCAACTCTTACTCCCACTATATACCATTTCCCCTTTAAGAGACCTTGCCCACTACCTCACTCTGTCATGTAGGCTTTGGGTTTGTGAGACCATCTTTCATCAAAGAAAAATTTCATCTCTTAGTTTCCCACCAGGGGATAATTTCCTTATTCACAAAGTCAGTGAAGATATTTTTGTATCAGCTAATCTCAGGAGATGTCTTTCAAGTGAAAACTGAATCATAAGGGAGGATTGGTGACATCCTAAGTCATCAGTATTTTCAAGGAGATGTTTGGGGTCTTCAAACTTGAGGAGACTCTCCCATCCCTTTGTCTTTTTCACTCAGTTTTAAATTTGAAGTCCTAGCTATTGCTTCCCACTGTGTGGCCCTGGGCAAGAAATTTAATCATTCTGAGCCTTATTTTCTTCTGTAAAATGGGAAGGTTATTCATATCATCTCTGCCACAGAGTTACAAGAAAAATATTTCTTCATATGCTAGAAAGTATTTTGTGAATGAGAATTGTGTTTTTGTTTGCATTATTTTCTTTTCCATATTGAAGTTGTCCTATAATGGTACGTCAAAATTTCAAATATAAAGGATGACTTCTGGGACTCAGTTTTATTCTAGTTCTCTGTTGAAGATACCACAGGAAGGGGGTGGAGCAAGTGGAAATTTCTTCATCATCTGATATTATATTTGAAGGTCTTTTATTCCTGCTCTGTCCGTCCCCATTGCACATTTGTATTACTATCTCTCTCTGCCTCTATCTCTTTCTTTTCCTCTCTCTCTCCCCATCTCCTTTTCCTCCATGTTCCTTTTTCTTTTCTAATATTAGACAAGATTTCTGCCTTATTTTTTTTTTCTTAAACTAAAGGCAAACTAGGACTTTTGTGGAATGGGAAGTTACTGTTAGCAAACTCACTTATTAGGGTCATGTTTGCACTTTGATTGTCAGCTGTGTACCAAAATAGAGTAGTAGAAAAAGCACTGGATTTGGCATCAGAAGACCCACTTGGGTTCAAATGCCCACTCTTGTTGTCTGTGTGACCCTGGGCATGTCACTCTGGTAACTGTTTTCCTTGATCAGAAAATGAAGGGTGTGGGTTAGATGGTCTGTAAGAGCCCTTCAAGTTCTAAGTCTGTGGTGCTGTGATCTTCATTGTTGCCTATTAATGTCTGGAATTTCATGAGTACTTGTGAATTTTATGCCTCCTCCCTTTGGTAGATGTCTACCATCTACCGTCAAACTGAACATGGTTCTGGGCCAAACTCGAGAATCTGAAAAATAACCATTTTGCACAGTAGAGCTACTAGTAGGTGCCCCTGTTCTTGAATGGTTTTCATTGTAACATATTTCCTTAGTCAAATCCAGTCTGGCAAACATGAATGGGTAGAATGCAGAGACAGGCTTCAGCATCATCATATGTAGGCCAGGCTGCAGCTGGCTGAGGCTTCTTTCTGGGAGCTCCCCATAGTTCCCCTGGCATGTTGTCAGCATTGGAGTCGGTGACCCACATCTCACCAGAATAGGTTTTTTTCTCTTTTCCTTTTGCCTTACTATTCTTTGTTCTATTACATTTTTACCTATATCATAATATGCTAGAACATTTGGGGTCGAATAGGAAGACAAGACATTTCAGATCTCTTAGTAGTGGGAGGAGGAGACAGACAGACACATAAACGCTGTGGAAAAACGATTATGGCATATCCAGATTAAGCTGTGACCAACCCACAGAGGATCTGGTCTGTGTAAAGTCTGGAATTCACTTTTTTGTCTTGGCTCTTGATGTTACATCATTGAGCTTATGTTTGGTCATGTAATTGACTCCCATCAGAAATATATGTACAAAATGGTGCAGGTTTTTCTCAGTATCTTTGGCTACTTGCTCTTTGTCCTGTTCACCGATGAAAAAGGAAGAATAATGTGCATTTGAGATGGATTACTGTATTGTTACTTAACATCTTAAACTAACCTTGAGTTATGCTTGTACGCAATACAGTTCTATTTTTAAACACCATGTCTAATCATTGTTTTCCTACCTGGAAGTCTAAGTTAAGGAAGAAGACAGAAATATAATTGCACAACAACTGGGATTGCTAAGCTAGATCAGATTTTAAGGGAGACTGGGTCTGCCCTGTTGATTTCATGCTTATCCATCTCTACCTATTGTCAGGCAGTGTGGTGTAGTGGCAACTCACCAGATTTGGGAATTGGGGGAACTGGGCTTAAATCCCATCTTTACTTGTAGGATACCTTCTATGACCTGGGGCAAATCACCTAAGTCTTACATAAATGATAAGACAGGAAGCCTTTTATGTAGGACAGTTTAAGGAACTTTTAGGCTGCAATAAATATTCCTTATGAGCACACTGGCGAAGTATGATATTATAGCTCTCTCCTGTCAAATGTACACATACCCATGCCCCAAAAGGAAGAAAGGAGCAAAATTCAGTTCTTCTATGTGAGTGTTAGCGGAGAGGTCAAACAGATGGGGACAATGATGCAAATAAAAGGTAAGCTGCTAGGTGGAGGTGACATAATTTCGTAGCCTTGCATGACGTTAACACAGTGTACTGGGAAGGTTTTTTTTTTATTTGTTTGTTTGCAGAAATGCATCTTTAATGTATTGGAAATCTTTGAGAAATTTGGCGTTGTCTTTTACAGACTTTTTCTTAATTTCATTATAACCTATTTTGATAAGGAAATGATGATCACTAAAAATTAATAAGAAACATTTAGAAGCCATAGGCATAGCAGTCTTGACTTGTGCTGCCCTTGAAGGCATTGGAATGAATTGCCAATTCAAATTCTTCCTCATTCTTTCTCAGTGTCACCGTTTTCCTTGTTTACCCTGTCTCCTCTGGCACATACAAGCCTGACTGACGTTAGTCACCTACTTTTATGACATCAAGTCACGATGGGGAAAGCTCAGTGCCAGTCAGTGCAAGTCCATGTGGTGTTCACTCCAGAGTACTCAGAAGAGGTTAAATGGTGAAATGGTAGCAGTCACAGCGATATTTTTATGTGGCAACCTACAGTAGCAAAGAGAATTGTCAGCAGACCCAGATATATGAACCAGGTGCAGTGTCCCTGCAGAATACGTTCATGGTATCAGGGGCGAAAATCCAATCTTAAGCTTATCAGGAAAAAGCCAAATAGGAGAATTCAGTTTTCCATCTTAGACCAACAAAAATATGTAACTGAGTGGTTGGGGAGATAGGGGCAGAAATGGTCCACAAATGGCAGCTCAGGGAGAAGAGATATAATCAGATGGGGTTTTCAGAACAGCCACTATTCCTATCCGTCTTTTAAAGTCTAACTCCAATGCCACTCCTCCATGAAGCCTTTTTTCTATTGGTCAGTAATGACCTTCATTCTTGGACCTCACTTTATTCTTTTTTTGAATTTTTTTTTCATTTTTAGGCAATTGGGGTTAAGTGGCTTGACCAGGGTCACACAGCTAGTAAGTGTCAAGTGTTTGGTCTGAGGCCAGATTTGGACTCAGGTCCTCCTGACTTCAGGGCTGGTGCTCTATCCACCGTACAGTCTAGCTGCCCCCTGTACCTCACTTTAGCACTTGGTTTTGTCCCTGTCCAATGTACTTTATCTGGGCTTGTGTCTTATGTCCCTAGTGGACTGAAAGGTCCATGAAGAAAACGACTGTCTTGTTGAAATTTTCTGTCATATAATATTTGCATGGTGTTCTATACACAGCAGGTGCTTAATAAATGTTTATTGGATGAATGAGTGAATGAATCAAAATATGGAAAATGGAGACTCCTGGGGAAAATTAGGACCTCATTTGTAAAAGAGCTGATTCTGCTGGAAGGCCTCTTCTAGCTCTAGATATGTGATCCTCTGAAGTGTGTGGGTATGTGTATATATGTGTGTGTGTGTGTTTATATAAGATATGAAACTTCAAAGGAATGATGACACTGAAATGTTTGCATTCTCATCTGAGAATTTTTATTTGGGTGATGGGTCTTTTTATCATGTTAGCAGACAAGCTCCTAACATGGAAGGGGTTGTTTTTTTCCATAAAATGCTTAAAAATTACCTAACCGGTCTATGAAAAATCCTCCATCTTTTATAACCCTTTGCTTCTTCCATGTATTTTTGCATGCAACTTCCTAGTCCTTTTAGTTGTGGTGTTTCCTCTACCCTAGCATGAGACATGGCTGGATTGCAAGATTCTCCGTGGGCTTATTGATACTTTGGAAATTTAACCTCTCTGCACAGGGTTCTGTTGCTTATTTACAGAATTCCAACTTTCCCATTAAAAAAGAACATTATATTAAGAGAGTCTTCTTTCTACCAATTAGGTCAAAGTCCCAAAATTTTAAGACCTAAACCCCATGGTTTAGAGCGAACTGATTCACAAACCATAGGTGACTTTGCTACAAGACGAAAGGGTATGTACTTTAGCACCGCATGCTGTATGGGATTTTAAATTTGGGATTTAAAATAAAAATTCTTTTTACATTAAAGAAAAAATGGGAGGGCCTTTATGACTACTGCTATTGCAAATGAAGCTTATCTATCTACATTTAACTTTGGGAGGGAGAAAAAGCTTTCCTTGAAAGGAAGCCCAACTCGTGGTATATTGGATAAGGTACTTAGAGCTGGAGTTAGGAAAACCTGATTCAGATCCAGCTTCAGACACTTTCTAGATTCATGATCCTGGGCAAGTCACTTAACTTCTATTTGCCTGAGTTACCTCATCTGTAAAATGAAGGGATTGGACTCATTGGCCTCTAGGGTCCCAACCAGCTCAGGATCTGTGATCCCTATTGTCTTGCAAACAAAAACAAAAAAATGCAGGAAGCTTGTGTCTAAACAAAAAAAAAAAGGGAAATATTTAGTATTGTTACTTCTCATTTACTCAGTCACTTTTTTGACCCCAGGCTCGTGGAGGATTTATGTTGTTGCAAATGGTGTCTCTTGATGGTATTTACCACACTTTAGAGAATGCCATATATGTAACCGACTTCCATGAGTTAGTGAGGTTTGTATTTGCAAAAATGATTGGGCTTCATTTGTCAGCTTAAACTGTAACAAAAATCTGGGGTTTAAGAGGGAACTATGATCTCAGAAGGCAAGATCGGCCAAGGCAAGGTCAGACACCATAATTAGTTACTCCATACACAGCGATCAGCAAAATTATCCCATTATCTCAAAAATTTTAATGAAGCAATTCATAGTTCGTTTCTTGTCTTGCCCAGTGCCTTCAGTCATGTGCCTTATGGAGCCTGTTTGAGCATCTGACATAACCACACATTACGTACTATGGCATTATTTATAGTAATAGCTGATTGGAATCAACTGAGCTGTTTTTCTGAGCCCATCATTTCTGAGGGGGTGGGAGAGAACTTTTTTTTTTTAACTTTAAGAAAAGATTTTGGTGATGGGGGCCAGTAACTGTTAAGAATTCAAAGAGGAATTCATCGTCTAAGGGAGGCAGTGTGCAAATTAAGTCTTTAAGCTGTCATATGGATATGTGTGTCAATTGGCTTTTCAGACTGCCTAGAGATCTGATTTATTGAGCAAATCAGGATCACCCTTAAAGCAAACTAATTATCTCCAGTTGTCATTTGCTAGTTTTGTTATAATTCAGCAGTTGAAGCTGGGCAATTTACCTTGTCTCCCATAGAGAAAGCAAACTAGTTTTAAGGAGACTGTCTTTAGCCAAAAAATAGATGACTTATTTTTTTACATCTTTGGCTTGCCTTTGTGGAATTACTATTTTTTTTTTTACTAGACATAAATCAAATGTTTTAAGACGCAGTTCGTAGTGAAATGCTTTATTTCATTATGATATTTTAAGACAGAGATTCTTAACCTTTTTTGTGTGTTGTAAACCTTATTGACGCTCTGGTGAAGCTTATGAATCCCTTCTTAGAATGTTTATAAATACGTAAAATATAATACATAGGAAACCAATTATATTGAAATACAGCTAAATTTAAAAAAAAACATTTATGAACTCCAGGTTAAGATCCTCTATTTCAATGTAAAATTTTGAAACCTTAATTGTTATTTCTTTTTAAAATATAGTGGAGAGAGCTCTGGCCTTGGAATCAGGAGGACCTGAGTTCAAATCCAGTCTCAGACACTTGATACTTAACTAGCTGTGTGACCTTGGGCAAGTCACTTAACCCTGATTGCCTAGAAGAAACAAACAAACAAACAAAAAAATACCATGGAGAGAACTGTATGATTACGATTGGGTTTGGGATGCATTGTTCTATAGTAGAAAGAGCCCTGAGATTTGAGGTCAGAGTACCTGAGTTCAAATTCTGTCTCTGCATTTTAACACTTTTCAGCCTTGGGCGATCTCTCAGCTTCTCGGAGGCTGTTTCCTCATCTGTAAAAGGAAGATAATAAAGCTTATACTACCTACCTCACAGGGCTGTTGTGAGGCAAGCTGTTAAAGTGCTATAAAAAATGAGCCAGTATTGTAGTTTTTAAATTTAAGAAGGAATGTACTTTTAAATGCATATTAAAAGAGAAAAAAACCCTCCATAATGCAAGAGTAGCATTCAGCATCAAATGATCAAGAAAAGTATAATTGAGAAATATAAAACAAAAACGAAATGCTTGTTCACAATTTTCTTTTCTTTTCTTTTTTTTTTTAATGTTCATGAATTCAATAGGCATTCAAATTGAGAAGCAGTGTAGTCTAGTAAAATAAATCCTGGACCAAGAACCAGGAGACTTGGTTTCTAATTCAAGCCTGCCTCTAATTAACTGTGTGATCTTGGTCACTTATTTCTCTGGGCCTCATTTTCCTCACCTGTAAAACAAGGCAGTTGAACTAGATCTTAAGTATATGTGCAGACATATACCTATACACACCAGTATTACAGTACCGTATGTGTTTTACATTGACCTGTGCCTTTCTCTTTCTTTCTCTGTGTGTGTCATATAGTCAAGCCAGCACCACTGGAAATCAAACCATTGCCAGAATGGGAAGAGCTCCAAGCCCCTGTGAGATCTCCTATTACTAGGAGTTTTGCTAGAGAGTAAGTCTTTGGTTTACTTGTGTTACTTTGAATTACCATTGTTCATGATCACGAGTAATTTTTAGAAGCTGTGGCGTGCCTAGGAAGCAGGCGGGCGTGGAATGAGAAGGAGGGAGGAAAGCTAAGCATCTCTTCTTCAAAAGTGGGAAGCATGAAAAGCATTGCACAGAGATTGTGTATGTGGGATATTCATTTCTCTATATATATGTGTGCAGACATGCTGGAAGGAATTGCCTGTTGACTGTGTCTATGTGTGTGAATAGTTACCAGTAGGTGAGGATGCATCTACACATGATAAAGTTCAGGTGTTTGTAAAGGACTTTTACTACATTCCGCCACTCCAGAACACGTGGTCCCATGGATGTTGGCATTTCCTCCAGAGATGGGGTGCAGTTCAGCCGTGTCTGCGCAGCCTTTGTATCTCCCATAAATCTCCTGCATGGGGAACATCTAACAAATTGAGGGGTCTTCTTCTAGATCAGGAGTTCTTAACCCTTGTTGTGTCATAGTCCCCTTTGATCATTGGGTGAAGCCTTCAGACCCCTTCTCAGAATAATGTCTTGTTGGCTACATTCATAATGGAAAGAATTGCTAAATCCCAGTTAAAAGATTGACAAAATAAAGATGCCATTTTTTTCCCATCCAGATTCATGGGTCCCCTGACATCTATTGCTGGACTCTGTCCATGGATCCCATGTGAAGAACCCTTGTTCTATACCGTTTGACTTTCCATAAATCCCAATTGAGCATGTAGCTAGTTCTCTGGTTGTCTTTCGCTCCCAGTGCATGGCCAGCTCATCTTTTTTTCCAGCCAAACATCCTGTAGGCACACACATAACATAGGCTGGATTATTTAAATGGGATTTTCAAATATCTAGTTTTTATTGAAGTTGTTTTTATATGGCATCAGATGGACACTCCCTATTAATTTTCCTTAACAGAAGCAGCATTACACAATGGACAGAACACTGGACTCAGGCTTGGAGCAAGAAAAGGCCTGTGTTCAAGTACTGCCTCAGACACTTAGTAGCTATGTGACCCTGGGCAAGTCACTTAACTCCTCTGTGCCTCAGTTTCCTCATCTGTAAAAAGAGGGATTGGACACAGTGACTTTCTAAGGTCCCTTCCAACTTTACAGCTGCGGTCTGATGATCCTATAACTTGGTTACCACACAAAATAACTCTGTGCATGAAAAGAAAGATGACCTTTTAAAGATTAAACTTCAGAGATTCAACATGCATTTCAATGGGCTAAGGATAAAGGACTGTGTGAGATCATAAATAAAACTCTGATGAATATAGACAGGGATCAAAAAAAATTGAAGCTCCCACCTACAATTTTTATTTTACTTTTTTTTTTGGCAATTTTATTCCAGTTTATATTGCTTATAAAAAATAATTCCTGGTGATTAGCTCCTCCAGGTTTCCTATGTCTCCCAGACCGGATTCAGTTCATAGCACAACTTCCAGCAGTGACTCCCATGACAGTGAAGAGAATTATGTGCCCATGAATCCAAATCTGTCCAGTGAAGACCCTGTAAGTAAAATCTGCATGTAAAGTCAGCTCTTCTCCCCTAGCTGTTGCTTGTAACTCATTCAGATGGAGGCAAGACTGTAATCCATTAGGAGTACCTGCATCTTTTCTTTATGTATAAGGAAAAAGGCAATCCCTTAAAATTCTTTCTCCCCTTCTCTCTAAATATTATCATTGATGATATTTATGATTAATTCAGTGTAACATTCCAGATACAAACTATGTCAAGAGCAGAATGTTTTCTCAATGAAGTTAGTGAAAGAAGTGTAAGTGCTTTACCAAGGCAATATCCTTGGGATATATTTGGGGTTCAAAATATATTTGTATATTTTATACATAATCTCTGGGGTTTTTTTTGTTTTGTTTTGTTTTGAATACCAAAGCAGTCATACAATGGTGTACCCAAACCTCAGATATAAAGGATAAATTTCAAGCCTCATTTTCACTCTAATTCTACATTTAATATACTAACCAAGGTGAAGAAGATGGTTTGAATGGAGATTAAAAATATTTTTTCTTGCCAATCTGATATTAGATCTGTAAATTTCTCTGTCTCCTCCCCCCTCCCCAGTCCACTCCTTTCCCCAAATTTCATCATTAGATAAAGTTTCTGCCCTTGAATTCATTCTTCTTAAACTAAAGACAAATTAGAGCTTTCCTGAAAGGGGGGATAACAGTTAGCAAACTCATTAATTAAGGTGGTGCTCAAACTTTAGCTGTCCACTCAAATTAATTTACCTTTAATTGAAACGAATTTATGCCTCCAACATGGTGCTGTAGAAAGAATACTGGATTTGAAGTCAGAGGACCTATGTTGAAATCTCATTTCTTACTGCTCTGGGTAGGTCTTCTAACTTCTCTGTACATCCGTTTCCTCATTTGAAAAATCAGAGGTTTGGACTAGGTAACCTCCAAGGTCCCCTCCAACTCTAAATCTCCCGTCCTTTAAAGTTACAGAGAAACTGCTGATGTACTTTGGTTGGGGGAAGTTTCCATACCAAGTCTTCTCTGTGATGGTGAGATCACAGGAATGATCCATCCCCTCAAAAAAGGAAATTAACATGTGGCTGGAGTCTTGATATAGTACAAACTCCTACTATGAGAGTAAACAATGAGAAGTGAGACCCTGTTTGAACCAGGTATTTCTGATACTTCAGTAATTAACTGCACTCCACTCTCCTCCACTTCCAAGATGGAGCCTGAAGCAAACTCAGTGGTGGAATACCCTGTCACAATAGAAGCAACAAAAAACATATGAGCTTCCCAGATTAGGAGATTGCATGAAAATAAGTTTTTGCTGATATCTTTAGCTTTTATAGTATGTGTTTCCCACTGCATTTCTACTTCATCACTTCCCAGAGATACATCTGGGAGCTGGCCTGCACTAAGGCATCCAGGATAAAATTATGACTTTTTGAAACCTTTAATATTTGGTAATTCTTAGGTTTTTAGGTAGTTGACCATGTATAACGGATCCTTTTTAGTAACTTTATTTTCTTCCTAATAATTCAATTTGTAGAGCACATAGGATCTGAGTCTATTAAGACCAGTAACAGGCCTGGAACAAGGAAGAACCAAGTTTAAATCCAGCCTCAAACGCTTACTAGCTGTGTGACCCTGCTCAAGTCACTTAACCTCTGTTTGCCTCAGTTTCCTCATCTGTAAAATGGGGATAGCACCTACCTCTCATGGTTGTGTTGAGGATCAAATAAGATAATAATTGTAAAGTGCTTAGCACACTGCCTGGCATATACTAAGTGCTATATAAATGTTAGGTATCATTAGTAATTATTATCAGTTAGGCCAGTATGCTAAAGTAGGCCTATTGGCAAGTAAAATGTTTGTTGAATTGTATGGAATGTAATGGAAAATGGGCTGAGCCATCTATCAAAACCAGAGAAAACCTTGAGTTCGGCCTAACGAGAAATAAAACAAATTTTTTTAGTGAATAAAAAGAACTCATTGCATTTTAAAACTTCAAGATCTAAGTGACTAATACAAAACAAATAACTTTGACTTGACTTGGAGAATTAAAAACAGTCTATAAAAAGAGCAGTAAGACTTTTTACTTATTTTTTCAGCCCTATAAGAGTATATTAATGTGTTTAAAATCAGCTCAATTTTTTTCCCTAAGCCCTGAAATTTCCAAGCCTTTTTTTCCTGTACACCTAGCTAATAATCTTTCCCTGCCAATCCAGAGGGCTGAGCCCACCTGCAGATGGGCTATTTGCTCTATATAGACATAAAGCAGTAGAGTATTAACTGGAAGAGTTTTAATCTTTGAAGAAGTAAATCAAATCTTACAAGGCCCATTGCTATCAGGGCACCTTTTGAAACCTGGCAGAAAATGTTTCTTCCATAAAGACAGAAGAGAAAATCAATAACTATTAATTGAAGTCTATTTAAAAAAATGTGTTTTTTAAGCATCCACTATTCACCAGTCACTGTGGCAGAGATAGGCAATATCGAAGACCAAATAATATTCCCTGCCCTCAATGAACTTATATTCTACTGAACAAAAATAGCACATACGTAAGATGTGAATGCAGAAATACATGCAAAGTCCTTTGGGGGATGAAGAACATCAGGAATTAGAAGGAATTTAGAGGAAGGAATTAGAAGGCACCTCATGTATGAGCCATGAATGGCTATAAGCATTGCAAGTGATCAAGATGAGAAGGCAGAACATTTCAGCCTTTATACAGACTTAGAACAGGAGATAGAGTGTCATGTTTGGGGAAGCAAGTGGACCTGTTTGGTGGGAACTTAAAAGTATGTGAGGGGGAGGAATATGAAATCAATCTAGAAAAACTAAATTGGAGCCAAATTGTGAAGGGCTGGACATACCAAGCAGCAGTGTTTGTATTCTATTCTAGGCCAGTGAAGTTTTCTGAATGGGGTAATGGCATGGCTTTAGGAATGTCAGATTGATAGCTTAATGAAGGATGGATTGGAACAGTCAAAGACTAGAGGCAGGGAGAACAAATAGGAGGCTATTGCAACAGCCCACCTAAGGAATTGTAGCAGCCTGATCTAAAGAGAAGATTTAGAGAGAGTGTTCAGGAGGAAACATCAAAGAGCTACATTGAGGATGGGTAATTGAATAAAAGGAGAAAGTTGGAAATCAGGGACTTTGGGTTCTGTAAAGTGTGAGAAATTGGAATGTATGAAATATTTCTGCATAGACAGTACTACCTTCTCTGGTATCTAACAAAGGGCAGGGGAGAAAAATGCCTGATGAGTAGACAGGTATATAAAGATACCATGTTTAAGCACTGTTAAAAAAAAAAAAAAGGCCTGGTGCCATTTGGAAAGCTGGAATGTGTACCATGCTTCCTCTAGCTCATCATGCTGCTGACCACAAGTGAGCATTATAATCTAAATATGTGGCACTGGGTTATTCTCCATGGAATGGATTATAATATGGAATTTAGGCAAGTTCTGGAATTATAAGGAGAGAAAATGGACTTTCATTATAGCAATATCAGTCTTGATCACAATAATTAACATGACAGATTTGAAACAGGAAGGGATCTTAAAGGTCATTTAATCCGACTTCCTCATGTTAAATATATGGAAACTGAGGCCCAGAGAAGCTAACATGACTACCAGAAGTAGAGCTGGGATTTTAATCCTGGCCCTCCAAACTTAAATCCAATGATTTCCCCACAGTATAACATTGTTTATCAAGTAAGAATTTTCTAACTATGGTAAGTTGTCATTAGACGTAGAACAACTATACCTTTTAGGATATTAAATATATCCACCAAAGAGTTTGAAAAAATTTGTGTGTGGTTGTTTGGGGACAGAACTGACTGAAAACAGACTGGTTCACTAGATGAACTGTATATTAAGCTAAAAGATTTTGAGGACAAGACTTTATCCTGTTTCATCTTTGTATTGTGCCTTGTAGTGCCTTGTGCATTGAAGGCACTTATACTTGTTTTTGTTTTTATTTCCAATGAAATTGAATGGGTTCCTCTTCAACCATGGGATGCTGTGAATCTAACTATTCTCTGACAAATAAGCTCAGAGCGAAAGTTCTTTCGGTGATCATTTGGAGTATTGCTTTTTCCCCCTACGACATAAAGCAGTAAGAGCAAGATTGCAATATTATGCAAAGAGAAGAATTCCTAGAAATGTCCTTTCTCTTGCAGAGGAGAAGGAAACAGCAATCAGAAAATAGCCATTTGTACAAACTCACTACCCAAAATCCTATTAATTTTCTTATTTTTGTTATTTAATCTGCAAGCATCTGTACAAACTAAATATATATAAATGCATACGTGCAAGCTAAATACAATATAGCCTGGCAGAGTACTAGAAATGAGAGCATTGGACTGGGAGTTAGCAGGCTGTGTTCTAGAGTTAGAGTTTTAAAGCTGAAAGAGGCTTCAGAGGTCAGCTTGTGCCACCCTCTCATTTTGCAAGTGAAGAAATTGAGGCCAAAGAGATTAAATGTCCCATTTGTGATCACAAAATGAGTAGTAGCCCCAAGACTTCAGCCCAGGTCCCTTGGCTCAAAGTCTCAATATTCTTCCCATTACATACTGCTCCTAATCTTCGATTATCCTCCTAAGACCTGTATTCTGTTCTGTAAAATCAGGGGCTGGGCTAATTATTCTCAAGTCTCTGAGCTCCAAAATTCTGATGAATCCATAAGAGACAGGAAAGAGGCAGAAGACTTCGGTTCAAATCTGGGCTCTGCCATTGTGACCTTAGGCAAGTTGCTTTACTTTTGTATCTCAGTTCCTCACTTATAAAATAAGTAGATTATAATAGGTGCCTTCTAAGGTCCTTTTCAGCACTAAAACCATGATCCAAGGAAGTGTGGCCAAATTTTAAAATTACTTTTTTTTAGAATAATATTTTATTTTTTACCCCAATTACATGTAAAGGCAATTTTTAACATTTTAAAAAAATTTTTGAATTTCATATCCCCCCCTCCCTTCTCTCTCCCTGAGAAGGCAAGAATTAGGAATAGATTATACATATACAGTCATGCAAAACATATTTCCATTTTAGCCCTGTGGTGAAAGAAAACACAGACAAAAAAAAACATGAAAAAATAAAGAAAGTGAAAAATAGAATTGTTCAATCTGCATTCAGACTCCGTGAGTTATTTCTCTGGATATAGATAGCATTTTTTGTCACGAGTCCTTTGAAATTATCTTGGGTCATTGTATTGCTGAGAATAGCTAAGTCTTTCACAGTCGATCATCATACGATATTGCTGTTACTGCATCCAGTGTTCTCCTGGTTCTGCTCACTTCACTTTGCATCAGTTCTTATAAGTCTTTCCAGGTTTTTTTGAAATCAGCCTATTCATCATTTCTTATAGCATAATAGTATTTCATTACAGTCATTTACAAGAACTTGTTCATTCCCCAGTTGATGGGCATGCCCTCATTAAAATTACTTAATATAACATTCATGTTGAGGCAGCATAGGAAACAGTGTAGTATCAAGAAAACCTATATTTGATGTCTTCTTTTGACACATACCAATTGTGTGACAATAGGCAAACTATTTAACCTCTCAGTGGCCCCAGATAGCACCAGGACAATAAGTAACAGATAAGTTGCTGATCTTCATCATTGGCAGGAGGATGGGGGTGTGGGAGGGGGTGGTGTTAGCGTTCCACACTGGGAATTTCCCACAATGATGAAATACCCAGATATGGACCAAAAACAAAACCAAAAAAAGGTTGAGGCCTCACAGATTGCAGCTTGATATGCCAACATAAGTGTGAGCTGAGATTGAATTTTAAAATTGTCCTTGTTGTTGTTCCAAGCACATATTGATTAAATTGCTTTGTTATTTTAATTTATTTTTTTAAAGTTTAGTACATCTTGCTTCATCTATGAGAGGTTTTTTGAATGTATATTGATTACTAAATGAAGATGATTGTTTTATCTCTTTCTCTTTAAAACAAATATTTAGATCATCTATACTAGGTTAGAGTTAATTGAGATATCTTGATATCTCATGTTTTTTTGTTATAATTTCAGAATTTGTTTGGCAGCAATAGCCTGGATGGAGGAAGTAGTCCAATGGTAAAGCCTAAAGGAGACAAACAAGTGGAATACCTAGACCTAGATTTAGACTCTGGGAAATCAACACCACCACGAAAGGTAAATGAAACTGATATATTAGGGAAATACAGAAACTAAATGCAGTTTGCAAACCTGAAAAAAAGAGACATTTCACCTGAAGAGATGTTGGCAGCAAGCATAAGATAGGCTAAAGGAGTATGCTTTTGTCTTTTTTTTTATTAGAAATTTCATATTTGATTTTGATGCAGTGTCTGTCACATAGTATGTGCTTAATAAATACTTCTTAATTGATTGATAAAGATTATGAATACTTAATATAGGTAGATGGTCAGATTTTCCTGCCACTATATTCTCCCCTTTCTACCTCTATCCCCCTCCAGGTCCTTCAGGGCAAGGGATATTTATTTTTAGCTTTATATCACCAGAATTTGGTGCTGTACCTTACGTGTAGTAAACATGTAATAAATTTTTGTTGGATGGAATTGAATTTTTTTTTATTAATTTATTTTGGTTTATCAACAGTCACTTCCATAAGCTTTTGAGTTTCAAATTTTTCTCCCCATTCCTCCCTAAGATGGCGCACAGTCTGATATAGGCTATACGTATATATTCTTATTAAACATATTTTCATATTAGTGATGTTGTAAGGAAGAATTAGAACCAATAGGAGGAACCACCAGAAAGAGGAAAAAAACACAACAGAAAAGAAAAAAAATAGCAAATAGTATGCTTCGATCTGCATTCATGTTCCATAGTTCTTTCTTTGGATGTGGATAGCATTTTCCATCATATGACCTTTGGAGATGTCTTAGATCCTTGCATTGCTGAGAAAGGCTAAGTCTATCAATGTTAGTCATCGCACAGCGTGGCTGGTACCTTGTACAACATTCTCCTGGTTCTACTCACGTCACTCAGCATCAGACCATACAAGTCTTGAAATTGAATTCTTATAATGCACTTAGTAGTAAGGGGATATCCAAGAGAGAGAGAGAGAGAGAGAGAGAGAGAGAGAGAGAGAGAGAGAGAAGGTAATTTTGATAAATCTAGGGAGGTTCCCAGAACAAATTGTTGAGGATCAGTGCCTTTCTAGAATGTATTTAGTTGGCTGGTCTTCATGTAACAATTTGTCTCTTGTTTCTTAAGCAGGCTCTCTAGCAGATGACCTTGTTTTTCTCTTAGTCCCAATGTGTATTTGTTTAGCTCTCTCCTTTCTCTTTCTCATTTTTTTTTCTTTCTTTGCCTTCAAGCAAAAGAGCAGTGGCTCTGGTAGCAGTGTGGCCGATGAGAGAGTGGACTATGTTGTGGTTGACCAGCAGAAGACATTGGCACTGAAGAGTACCCGAGAAGCTTGGACTGATGGGAGACAGTCTACAGAATCTGAAACTCCAACCAAGAGTGTCAAATGAAGATACTTCTCCAGCTGCCTTCCAAGAACAGAAGAAACCAGAGTTCTCAAGATAATTCCTGGTAACATATGGTACAGAGCCACATCCGCAGCAGTGTTTGACCGAAGAGGACTTGACTGTTCAACTCTGGATAGACCCTTGAAATTAATGGAGTTGAAGTCAATGGACATTTCAGACAAAATCAAGCAATTGATTACCCTAAATGGTGCTTTGTGGTATCTGAACAAATTACACAATGTAAATAACATAGAAAAATAGTATTGTTTAGCTCCCAGAAAAACATTTGTTCTCCAGTTAATACATTTGTAGTATTACTATATTTATGCACTTTTTCAGTTAAAATATGGGTTCAGGTATTCCCAGATAATGTACCTTAACGCAGTTCTTTTGGGAGTTCTCATTTTTCCTCACGCTATTCTAAATAACAAGTCTAGGTTAATTAAGCTACATGTAGAGTGGAAATTGGTGTCTAAACTTCACTTGTCCATTTTAAAGTGCATTAGAAGTAGATTCACAACTTAATTGACTACCTGAAACTTTAAATGGTAAACAGTAGTTTGCTACATTTTTTTAATTTAATGCAAAGCATAATTAGGGGCTTACCATTTGCCCTCCTAACACATATGCTATAAGTTAATAATAATGAACCATACTGGATTTAGGGCCTACTATTCTTCCTTAGACACATTTAGTTTAGCAGCGGAATTTCTGTTGTTTTTTGTTTTTGTTAATGACAGTGTTTGGGGTGCATTGGGTGAAGATTCTGCAGGGTAGGATCTTGCACTTTTAAAAACTCAATAATTAAATATCAAGTTAGCCTGCAAACCACTGAGGGCATGCCGTAATGTTATGATTCACATTTATTAACATGTATTGATCTTTACATTATTTACAAAAGGTAAACAATATATAAATAATCAGGTACGTACAAAGCACTGCTGTGCTAATCACACTGATCAGGTTTAGACAGTGAGCTTTTAGTCTTACTTAGAAGTCCTGGTATTTGGTTTCCAACTTGAAATTAATGGGACAATTGACATTCACTGTTAGTACTAGTAACATACTGTGATTTTTTAAGTAGACAGTAATACAGATTTATTATTCAATGAATGGAAATAACTATGTTTTGACACCATAGTGCCCTTTCTATGAACTTTTATTTTACTTAATCTTCTTCTTGGCCTTATATTTAAATCCCTATGCAACTGATATTTTATATATATACATTTTTTTAAAAGAACAGATGCTGTTATGTAAGTAATTGCCATGTGTGACACCTGTTGCTTTTCCAGTAGAGGATGTAAAGGTTTTTTGTACTGTGATTTTTATTCACTGCCCCAATTCCAGGTATACTTGGAGCCTCAGTCTAACATGACTTGCTAGAATGGGGAATTCAGCTTTGGGCACCCATAATTAGGTTTGTTCTTGAGAGCACCAGAAGAACTTCGAGATAACATTATCTCTCATCTTAAACTTGGTCCTGTACCATGAGTACCAAGGTGATGGCATTAAAGTCAGACTACAATGTATTAACCTGCCTTGGTTTAGAAACATGATTTAGTTATCAGGAGGAAACTACCATCTTTACCTAATGGACATATATAAGGCCTAGTATATATGGAATGAAAAGTACTAACATGGAGGAGGGAGAGCAAAAGAGGAAGAGAGAAGACTAAGTCCCCAGCTGTAAGACATCTCTCCCTTCTTGTATCCAGATCTCTGACTGTTGCCTCATTAAACGATTGTGTCCTGTTTTCTAGCATGTTGGCCTTACTACTGTGCCTAATCAGCTTAGTGGATTTTTCCCCTTCAATCCACAGTGTATAAATTATCCTAATAAGGTGGCTTGTAGAACTAGTAACATTTTGATGCTTTCAATGTTTGCTTCTTTTTGGAAAAAAAAAACCACAAAAAACTAAAACAACAAAAAACTAAACCCGGGACATACTTTATAAGATGATTTTAAAAAATAAATCAGATTGTTCAAGAGTGATGTGTTAACCTGTTTTGCCATGGAACCATAAAATAAAGGCTAAGTGCTATGAAATGTGCCTAAACTACCCAAACATAGTTAGTTGGTCTGTGAAAATACTAAATTGTGTTGCCTGGTACATGTGATTTAAATCTTAAAACATTTTCAAGGAGAAGTTAAAGATAACTGAGAAATAGGAACTGTATGGTATTTTTTCAATTGTGTCTAAGATCTCAAGCTATGGTGAAAAAATGTGATAGTTTCTTTTCTGCATAACTTTGTCAAGTTATTCATTATTTCCCCTAGGAATGCAGCACTCCCAGCACATCATAGTTGTGAGTGTTTTCCCATCACGCAGGGTGAGCACTTGGTACTTGAAATATTTTAGGAAGACAGTTTGCTGTAGGAAATTTAACATCCACTAAAAATTTTCTTGCCAATATTAAATGAAAACAGATGAAATTCTCCTGGAAAGTGAGTCTGGTGCTAAATCAATCAGTGGTATTGTGGAAGTCCAAGAACACTGTGCTGGCTTTGGGTATTTCAGCTGTCTTTTTTCCGCGTGATCAGTGTTCATAAAATGTTAAATATGTATTTTAAACATTAAAAATAATTTTGTTAATGTCTTGCTTTCTAAGCAACTACTACATGTCATGCAGGTGTCTGGTGTTTCAAAATTTAATCTTTATTTACATTTTTAAAAAAATCAAATTTTTACTCTCCTGACTTTCAAAGGATTTAAGCTATTTGAACCCACAGTGGGCATCTCTTAGTACAGTTTTTAAGCTGTCAGTGGTAATGTTTTTGTCTGTACTCCAGCCAATTCCATGTACACACAAATATATCAATACCACATGAACAACTGTGAGCAGAATAGAGAATACTACGCAGATACTCTGAGGTACATAGTTATATATAGGCACTTGTGACTTCTAATTAAAAAAAAAACTATATGCAACAGAAGTAATAACAGACCAAATTTAATTTGTTGTATAAATACTGCAGTGCACAATTCAATCATAATTCTCCCTGGCCTGGCTTTTTTTCCCCTCATACTAGGACAAATGAAGTTAGAATGGTTTTTGAAATATGTTAATTGTGAATGTTAGAAAGCTGAATATATAACATCAGTTTTATTCCCACCAGTGGAAAGTTACCATTGTATACCTTTGAATCTTAAAGGTTTATGGCTATGTAATATTTCTGGGATATGAAGTAGAACATGCCCAGCTGCTTCCAAACATCCTTAATGCCTCCTTATTTTTCCTCATTGAAAGTGCTGAAATAAGTATTTTATAGTGCTATGCAAAGCCTTTAACGTTTAGAAACAGTGAGAGATGGGATGATGGCTCTAGTTTTATGACTTGACCATGGACAGTGGAAGGGAAGGCCTACCAAGTAATGATGGGTAATATAAGTGTGAATGAACAAATCAAGCATATACATATATGTGTGTATGCCTATGTATTTATATATGTATATAAATATATGTATTTTTATACATATAATTTCCCATAACAGCACAGTTACTGTTAACAATATCCTCATTTTTATAAATGTTATGTGTGGTGTTGTCAGAAAAAAATTGTATTTCATAGCTATGATAAGATGAGCTTTGACCCAGTTTACTAACTGAATTTGGCATTTTTGCTTTAATCATTTTGTAGATGTATTTACACGGACATATCAGCAGTACCTCATAAAAATCTATACAAGAATTGCCATTCTGAGGAAGGCCAGCGGCCTGTTCAGTTCATTATTCTGTCTCTGACAGTATCTCTGGAGTTGTTGGTTTGTAGGGAGGCGGTGGTTGGCCTCTCTGAGGACAACCTCAGAAAGTTAGGAAGTACGATGTAACCACGATTCAATTCCCAATTCTCTGTCCTTTTCCAATATGTCTGCAGGTAAAGTTAGGCCATGTAATTCATGAATATTCTAGTCATTCACATGTAAATATGTTTCCTGAGAAGAAATTAATCTTTCCTGGTTGTGATGTAGAAACAAAGCTTCTGATTGCTATTTTGTTGAGAGGTCTCTTGGAGAACTACCCTGTTCACAGAAACTTAGGGGTAGTATGACTTCAGAAATGTTATGTATTTTAAAAGGTGGTTGAGTGACAGGTTACAGTTCCTTACTGTTGAGCTAATCTGGTAACATGTCCCTAAACTTAGCCATTTTAACACTAAGTAAAATTATTTTTCTTAAAGGTTATTAAAATAAATGGAAAACTGTAAAAAAAAAAACTCAAAGCAAAGTTTCCAAGCTTGTTTCTCTAATCTGTGTTTGGCCAAAGACCAGGTTTTTAAATTTTTTATTTTACTACTCTTGTTTTATTAAATTGCTGCCTCTGACAAGTTACATTTGTATGCTCTTGGTTTAGAGGGATTCTAAACATCCTGTTTTTTTCCACACTTCAAAAGCATGAATGTGAGCTTGCTTAGTATCCTTAGGGTTTGTTCGCGTGAATTTCACCTGTTTCAATGAAATGGTTTGACTATTGGGAAGAGTGATAAATTTTATGCCTTCTATACTTCTTACTCTTTATGAGAAGCTGCCTGCCTCATTTGATATAAGAATATAAGTATGTATAGCATGACCTACTTGCCAGCAATAATGAACAAAATGACCTTTCTGGGCCTGATTCTCAGGTCTGTGTGTTCCAGGGTAGTTGGTATCACTTAGTAAATTTTGTGTGTGTGTGTGTGTATGTGTGTGTGTGTGTGTGTGTACACACATATATATCAGTCTTGTAGAAAACAAAATGGTCCATTTTTCTCAGATATTTATACAGGTTTCAAAATATGGTTTTTTAAAAGTCATGTTAGGAGTAATAATTCCAAAGTTGTGTCATTATTGTTGTTTTCCCAGTATTGAGAACTTGGTGCATTTCCTGTAGTATCATAGATTGAAAGTTGTCTGGGAACTTAGAAGCCCTATGATCCAACCCTTAATTCCCACAGAAGGTAAATGACTAACCAAGGGTCATACAGGCAGAGGTAGGATTCAAAACCAGGCCTTCTGACTCCAAATCCATCATGCTTTCCACTGGAGCCAACCTCAGACTTTTGCTGTCATACTTTTCTTCCATAAGGTGGGCATTTAGGGGGAAATTTCCTATGAGAAAATGATGTGCTCAAGGAGAAACCAGTTTGATCAGAGGATCTCATCCAGGAGACAGTATATGATCAGTGAAAAAAAGGCTTGTGTTTCTACTTATAACCCAGAGAGCTGTCAGGTAGAGTAGAAAGGGCATTGGATTGCATATCAGAAGACCTCATTCCAAACTCATGTTCTGCTACATCCTACCTTTGAGACATTGGAAAAGGTCACAAAATTTTGGTCCTTGGTGTGTTTACATGAACTAGATGATGCTTTGATCCTGACTGGGTTTTAGTCTTGAATGTGTCACACTTTGATTTCAGCAGATCATTTCATCTCAATGACTTAGATTTGCCCACTATTTAAAAAAAAAAAAGTACAATCCTTTCTACTAATAAAGTTGTGTTTTTGAGGAAGATAAAATGGACAATTGTGGTTAGATAAAATTGAAAACCTTCTGCCCAAACACAATCAATGGAAGTAAAATTAGAAGTGGAAAAGTTAACTGAGAAAAAAATACTTATCTCAAATTTCCTTAAGATAAATAGGGAACTGATTCAAATATACATAAGAGTAAGGCTGTTCTCCAATAAATAAATGATCAAAGAATATGAACAGGCAGTTAAGGGAAGAAGCCCTGGCTGTCAAGAGCCACATAAAAAATACCCCAGATCACTGGAGAAATGCACATTGAAACTCTTCTGATGACCCAGCTCATACCCATCATACTGGTGAAAGTGACAGTTGTGCAGGGACCATGGGAGAACAGCTACACTATGGCACTATTTTTAGAGCTGTGAAATGGTCCAGCCATTCCATAAAATAGTTTGGAATTATGTCCCCAAAAGTCACTAAACTGTGCAGTAGTAAACAAGCTTGACTCAGACCAATCCTCTGGTAGTTTGGGGCCTATACTAGAACAAAATGAGACACTTGTAGGTTGTTCAGCAGTTATAAAAAGGAAGTATACTTCATCATAACACAGAAAGGATGTTCTACTAGGACATCATGGCTCCCCTTGTCTCTCCATAGAGAAACATCTATTTAGCAGGGTGAGGTAGCTCGACAGCCTTGAGACACCTACCAAGTCTGAGGGACACTGACTATTTGTGAGTGGGCCCTTTTATGTCCTCAGGTGACCAGGAAAGCCCTTGACAACATGACAAGAAGCAGTGAGGAAGCTCCTTCCATGGAGATGCCTCAAGAGAGATGTAGCTTGAGCTTTAGCCTTCTTGGTTGAGCAAATCTTGAAGACAGCTTCCTGGCCTTTCAGGTAAAGAACTAGCTTACCTTAGATGGAGAGGTGGAGGGAGGGGGTGGAGAGAAGGGGGAATCCTGGCAGATTTTGATATTATCACACGTGCAAACACTTTGACCTTGTAATGTCACTCTTAGGCTCCAAAGGGCAAGTCACTGGTACCCACAAATTCTGAAAGAAAACATTTGGGTAAAGCCTCTGGATTCCTGTAAAGGGAGAGACAAGAATTGTATCAGATGAGAAAGTAGGGATGAGGTGCAGATTGCACCAGTGGAAATAATGTCTGCATCAGGGAGATGCCAGATTGTACTCCAATCATAGCATTCCTTTTTTTTTTTTTTGAGGCAATCAGGGTTAAGTGACTTGCCCAGAGTCACACAGTTAGTGTTATGTGTCTGAAGTCAGATTTGAACTCGGGTCCTCCTGACTCCAGGGTCAGTGCTCTATCCACTGCACCACCTAGCTGCTCCAGCATTCCTTTCTATAAGGCTTTACAGGTGCAGAGTAGAGACCCCACCTGTTAGTGGAAGTTGAAGTGAGAGGAAGCTCAGTGAGGAAAGGAGGCTGAAAGGTACCACAGAGGATACAGGGCTGGATTTCAGCTTTGGAGGATAAAACAATAAGTTTAATTGATATAAGGCTTTATAGTTAATGAAGTGGATTTCATATGTGCTATATTAGCTCCTTTGGATCTTCATAACCTGCTCCTTGATGTAGATAACAATTATTATTCTCATCTTCCAGATAATACAATTTGAGGCCCAGAGTAGGAGTGACTTGCCCTAGGTCATTCTGCTTGCTAGAGGCACGGAAACCTGACCAGAGCAGAGCTAGGCCTCAGACCCTAAGGCCTTCTGATTCCAAGTCCACTTTTCATTACACCACCACATTGCCTGGATTGGGTATGGGGAGGGGAGGGCTTTTTAGTGGAGGGTCACAGTGAAGGAATGGAAGTGAAAATGAACATGGCGAATTCACAGGAGAGAAGAATAGTTCATGTTGAGAAATAGTGGGGAACAAATTTGGGTATGGTGAGGCCAGGTGTTAGAATTCACTGGAAGCTGGGCAGAGAAGCTGCAATTTAGCACATCATCCAGTATGACACAGTGGAAATACTATTGCATTTGGGTGAGAAGACATTCAAGTCCTGGCTGTCTTGCTTAGTACCTCTTAGTTTGGAAAGTTGCTTCTCTCTGGGCTCCCAATTTCTTCTTTCTGTGCTGTGAAGGAGTAGATTTTTAGATCTAAGTTCTATAATCTAAAACCTATGGCACTTAACACTTCAAGGATCCAGGATTTTTCTCATGTGGGTAAAAAGCAGTTCACAAACACTGCTCTGCCTTAATAGATGGACTTTGGGAGTTGTGGTAAAAAATGGACCACCCTGTGGCCAACCTAGTCATGAGCCTGTCTGAATTTAGACCACTTCAGATATAAAATTTATCACTGGGAAAAACTGCTAAAGTTTATTCTCTATTGGTGTAACCTTTGAAAACCTAGGCTGAGCGTGCCAGGATGAGACACTAGAATAGGACTTGCATGGAGTATGATTACTAAATATAAGCATGGGTACAATAAAAAGTAGGAGCAAGAGAATTACCTAGATACTGACAAATACTTGCTATATTCCCCAGTTACTAATCCATTCTCATTCTAACAGTGGATTTCCTTAACAATCTTCAATTCACCCTGAATCTTCTCTTCAGGTTCTAAGCTTTACAGACCCAGTTTTCTAGAGTCCTAATGGGGACACATACAAAAGTCAAGTCAACAAGCATTCAATAAGGACCTACTATGTGTTAAGCACCTGGAGACACAAAAAAAGGCAATACAGTTCCTCATAATCTAATGCAAACAATTATGTACAGATATTTACAGGATAAACTAGATATGATCTGAGAGGGAAGGAGTAGATTTAAAGGGCATAGGGAAAGGTTTCTTACAGCAGATGCAGAAGGATTTTAACTGAGACTTGAAGGAAACCAGAGAAACCCAAGAGTCAGAGACAAGGAAGGAGAAAGAATTCTAGCCAAGAGGAAGAGCAAAAGCCCTACTAAAGTTGCGCAACTCTGGCCTCATCAGGGGTGTACTGACCTAAGATCAAATCTTATCACAGACACACTAACTATGACCCTGGATAAGTCACATAACACCTTTCAGACGCAGTTACCTCCTCCATAAAATGGAGGTGGTAGTACAATAGCATGTCTGTCCCAAGGTTGTTGTGCCAAAAACAAAATGTATGTCAAATGCTTTGCAAACCCTCAAGCACTAACTCTATGCTAGCTTTAAAACACACACACACACACACACACACACTCACACCCCTTGTTAATGAGATGATTTCTTCCAAACCCCTCTCTGCTCAGTCCTACCCCATCCCAACCTCTTCCCTGTTTCCCCTCTTTGCATAAATAAGCTGCTTTGGAGTTCCTAAATTCCATCTTCTGACTACTTGTGTTCTGTCTTCCTTGTGAGAGAGAGAAGGGCAGAAAGATCATGAGGGAACGTTTCCCATGATTAGTTCCCCCCGAGCACTCCCAAATTGGACTGCTAGCTTGTCAGTCAAACCTCTCTCTCTCTTCTAACAGGTGGAATCAGTATTTAGTTTTGTCCACTGAACTCTGGCTTTTTCCAGTCTGCTTCTGCCAAAGCAGATTTAGAACTAGAATAGGCCTTAACAATCTAGGCAATAGATTGGTATGTATCTAATAGATTCAAATATATCCAATGTCCTGTTTTACAGAGAAGGAAGAAGGCTCTTAATATGGGTAGGTGAATTGTCCAAGGTCACATTGGGTGGTAAATAACAGAATCAGATTCATATAATCACAGATTTAGAGCTGGAAGGAGCCTTAAAGGTAGTTGCCCTCAGTTTAGTAATCAGCAAGTAAAGATCCTAAGAGGTGAAATGATTGGAAGTAGAAAGGATGGGAGGAAGAATTTGAACCCAGGCCAGCTGAGTCTAGGTGCCACTTTCTCTTTCTCTGCTGCCAGAC